CCAGCTCTTATTCTTCTTATAGCTCTGAATGATGAGGATCAAATACTTTGATAACATAGGAACTTAAACATGCAATGACAGTATGTGAGATAATAATATTTTATTATGGAAAGAACATAAAATTTACATGGGATGTCCTCTGTATATGTGTTGCTTTTATTGGTTGATGAATAAAGTTGTTTTGATGAATGGCTTAGCAGAGTAGTGAGGCAAGAACTCTGAACAGAGATAAAGTTATAGAGAGTAGACAGAGTCAAACAGATGCCATGTAGCTGTCAAAGGAGAAAGTGTCAGAGCATTACTGGTAAGCCACAGCCTCGTGGAAATACATAGATTGATAGAAATGGGTTAACTTAAGATATAAGAGGTAGCTAAGAATACACCTGAACCATTGGCCAAAAAGTGTTGTAATTAATATAGTTTCTGTGTGATTATTCAGGTCTGGGTGACTGGGAAACAAAAGCACAATCTCTCTTTACAGAAATTGGCTGATAATTGGCTCAGCAAGTAAAGATACTTTCCCCACAAGACTAAGATTATGGATTTAAGACTTGGAAACCATTATGGAAAGAGATACCTAATCCTAAATGTAGAAGTCCGAACATTCATGGTCTATCATATTTCCCCATGCTCTTAAGTGTGTATACACACACATGCACACATACATATACCAATAATAAATTTAATTTAATTAATAGGAACATCGAATACAGTGCATTGAAAAGCATATGTGATTGGTAATAATAGAGCAATTAGCAAAACTATATTAACAACATTAAATATAACCACATGATTAGTGTAACTTTATATTTGATTTCAGAATGTATTGCAATTCTGTTAGGTTAGTTATTTCAATATGATGTTTTTATGCATATTTTTATCACTTAAAATAGCAGCACCTTCATGGATTATTCTAACCTTTCACTATTTAACTTTCACAAAGTAAACAAGCTATCAGTAAGTGAAGAAAAATTTTACTTATACTCAGTTACAGAGACCCTTCTACCACCTCTTACTTCATGCCGTTTTTCTTTGCCTCTGAAAGAAAGAAACACAAATCTAATACTGGACTGGCTTTAGTCAAGGCATCAATTTAAATACCATCATTTTGTAAAGCAATTGGGTCTTGATTAGAGGTTATTGATTACTTGTAAAAAGCACAAGTAGAAAAAGCATATAAAACAAACCTTTGGCTTTTTGTCTTGTTTTTCTGTGTTCTGCAGTTCCTTGAAATGTTATTTTCTTCACCGTGTTGCTCTGAAAGGGGGAGTGGCCTTCCTGTTTCATTGTGGTTTGCGTGGACTAAAGCAATATATATATTATATATATAATATATATATTTATTGTATATATATTATATATTATAAAACATTGAATAAGAAGACAAAGAGGTACCAAGGGATGAAAATAATCTTATCGGTTATGCTTTTAACATTGACCCTGCTATTTATGAAATAAAGTATAACTGAATACAGTTACTTCATTCAGGGGATTTCATCTATTTTTAAGGATCTTTTGACATGTAAAACTTAGGTTTTGAGCTCTTATTTTTGTCTTTGTTAAAAAGTTCGACAATATGAAGACTGTCAGTTTGTTTGGTATTTATCTTTTATCCCATGTTCTTTGATTCTTAATCCCAGAAGGGACATGTTACCATTTTAAGCAACAACTCCCACAGAATATAGATTTCAAGTTAGGTCAATTTGAAAATGAAGAAATATCTCACTCTCTCTGCTTCTCTACTTTGTCTTGCTCTCTTGCCTCTGTGTTATCTATGTGTATAGACATATGTATCTGCATTTGCATTACGTATTTGTTTCTCTGAAATAAAAATGAGATGAAGCCACACAAATAAATTATTAGGTATGGATGAGTATATCTGAGTCAATAATATGCTACCCATTCATTTTGTAGCATGTTATTTGGAATAATTTTATGTTTCTCTCCTTCTAAATAGAAAATCAGCATGCCATTGACATAGAAAATCAATTTATGATGAATGGTTTGAAACAGATTGTGTTTACAAGAGCAAGGCTGCTCATTGGTGGGTATATGATATTTAAGGTTTAGCAGCCCATTATGTGGATAACATTGTTTCAGAGAGATCCCTCATACATATATAATGATCTGATATAAGTTCATTGAAGGACACAAAACTCCTTCCTTGACCAAAGTTTGGTCATTTTCTTCTCTGATCCCTTAGTGAGTACTCCCTAACTTGTTATCTGTCTTTGGACTACATAGTTCAGTCTTAATAAGGATTCTGGCAGGTTACTTATTTTTTAAACCCAAACCACCTTTGATATCTGGTCAAACTTCTTATCCTCACCTATCACATCTTTACCTTCACCTTGCTTTCATCAGGAATGTTGCTGAGTCAGTTTGGCTAGAATCCCTCTGATTCTCACGATATTTTTTTAAGGAATGTTCTACTCACTGACCCATGCCTGTGCAGTGGATCCCCAACTGTCCTTTTCATACTGACGAGTGTTTATTCCCGTTGTAAATCTTCTAGGGTAAAGTTTGCCCTCACTGCTCTAGCTTGCACGTAGGGCTGGTTTTCTCAACAGAACCCTAGCTTAGTTTATTTCAGTGACTTTTCAGATGGTAGTAGAGGAGTTGATAAGCAGCAGCTGGGCAATGCAGCATGCGGTTTCAGACGGAAGACAACACTATAAACTAAACAGGTAAATATTTCTAGCATATCACAGTTCTACAACTCTACTTTCCTTCTAATTTTAGATGCTGTGAATGAGTAATTGGTCACTCCAATTTATATAACATAACGGAGAGGAAACAGATTTCAAAGGTCATTTGATTAAGGAAGGAAGCAGTTGTTGACAGAAGTAAATTGAGAAAAATTATGTGGAGCAAACTAAACATTTGGTGATATTGAAAATGATAAATATAGTCAAAATAATGATGGTAATTTTAAATTATAGTAATAAAATTGATTTGAAAGCTCCTAGTTCTCCAATAAATTTCTCTAAATTGTTAGTATAGTCACAATTAATTTCAATATTTTATTTGCATATTTTGTTGATGCCTCTAGCCCTTATTTTTTGAAATGATTTTATTTAATGCCCTGTTTCAGTCAAGAGATTTTACTGATAGTAAAATGAGAACCATTAAAACAGTTAACAAAGGCCAGCTAATTGGGGAAATATGTAACAATTTAGCAAGGAATTTTCAATCTACAAATTTTACTGAACCTTGTGCAGTAAATCTTTAAGGTTATAGAAAAGGTTGTCACAAATAAATTTACAGTCCTGCAACAATAAAAGACATGTTATAATCCTGTGCCCTGCAATAATAGTTTTAAATTATTTTAAATGTTAAAATTTCTACCATTTATTTTCTACTGCACTACAGGTATATTCAGACTTCATTGTGTGGAGAACAAGATAAGTTTGAAGACTAAAGAAATAAAAACTTAACCAAAAACCCTATCTAGAAATAGTGTCTGTGAAAAAATCAACTAAAAGTCAAATGAACAACTGTTAAGAAATAGGCTCTCGAGCCAAAGTCTCTAGCTGCAAGGTCTATATTCTGTGTTAGTATAAAAGGAAGTACCCTGACAGATATCAATCTTTTTGGGCTTTAAAATCCCAGATGTGCTCCTCATTTGGACCTTCGGAGATCAGTCCAGTGCTCCAATGTGGGTCTCTGTCTCTATCTCCATCCATCGCTAGATGAAGGTTCTATGGTGATATGCAAGATATTCATCAGTATGGCTATAGGATAGGGTCATTTAAGGCTCCCTCTCCTCAGCTGTCCAAGAAACTAGCTGAGGACATCTCCATGGACCCCTGGGAACCCCTCTAGAGTCAAGTCCCTTGCTAACCCTAAAATGGCTCCCTTAATTAAGATATATGCTTCCCTGCTCCCATATCCAACCTTCCATTATCCCAACCATCCCATTCCCCCAAGCTCTTCCCATCCTCCCTTTCTTACTTGTCTCTCCCCTTCTCCCCTTACCCCCATCCTATCCCCACCCCCAAGTTCCCAATTTTTGTCCTGCAATCTTATCTACTTCCAATATCCAGGAGGATAACTATATGTTTTTCTTTGGGTTCACCTTCTTATTTAGCTTCTCTAGGATCACGAATTATAGGCTCAATGTCCTTTATTTATGGCCAGAAACCACTTAAAAGTGGGTACATACCATGTTCATCTTTTTGGGTCTGGGTTACCTCACTCAGGATAATGTTTTCTATTTCCATCCATTTGCACACAAAATTCAAGATGTCATTATTTTTTATTTTATTTTATTATTTTTTTTTACCACTGAGTAGTACTTTAATATGTATATATTCCACACTTTCTTTATCCATTCTTCCATTGAAGGGCATCTAGGTTGTTTTCAGGTTCTGGCTATTACAAATAATGCTGCTATGAACATAGTTGAACAAATGCTTTTGTAGTATGATAGGGCATCTCTTGGGTATATTCCCCAGAGTGGTATTGCTGGATCCTGGGGTAGGTTGCAAGGAAGTCAGGACCGGGAGAGGTGCGCCCACCCACTGAGACGGTGGGGCTGGTGTAATTGGAGCTCACCAATGCCAGCTGGACTGGGACTGAAAAAACACGGGATCAAACTGGACTCTCTGAACGTGGCGGACAATGAGGGCTGCTGCGAAGCCAAGGACTATGGCACTGGGTTTTGATCCTTCTGCATGTACTGGCTTTATGGGAGCCTAGTCTGTTTGCATGCACACCTTTCTAGACCTGGATGGAGCGGGGAGGACCTTGGACTTCCCACAGGGCAGGGAACCCTGACTGTTCTTTGGACTGGAGAGGGAGGGGAAGGGAGATGAAGGGAGGGGGAGGGAAATGGGAGGTGGGGAAGAGGCGGAAATTTTTAATTAAAAAAAATCCCAGATGTGATAGTTTCTAATGGGAGAAGTGGAGTATGATTTTTAAAATAAGATAATGTAATTCTTTGATAAAGTTTCTCTATAAATAATTAGACAAAAAGAGAATCACCATCTTGAAAAAAAATTAATTTTTATTCTATTTCTGATTAAATTATCTGCGGTTACACGAGGAAGACCATATATTATTCACAAGTTAATGATTATTAGAGAATCTGCTAGCTGTAAAATTAAACTAACGGTAATATAACAAACAGCAATTTGATAAAATCGTGCATATCATTTTAATACATTTAAAGCATAATGTTTTGGAAACTGTGACATAAATCTGGACAGAATAAAGTACTCAAATATGCCACTCAGAAAGACACACCTCAGATGTACAGAAAAATAATTAGCATAATAAAATAGCAATACTTTTCTGTGGTATAGTTTTATAGATCATCTTTTCTCATGAATATGAAGTCGCGACACATCATGTAAAGCGATTTCATCGAAAAATATATGACATGGTTTCTTTTTATTTTGGTTCCCACAGTATATTACATAACACCCCCAAAATGTCAAGATGCTTCACTATATTTTCCAAAGTATCATCACTCCTCATACATTTAAGTGTAAGCTTAAAAAAAAGCTTTTGCATAATTCATAAAGATGAAACAGTAAAGAAATGCTAAATTATTCAAACAAGTCCAAGTACAGTTTTTACTTTTGGCATTTAATTCAGAGTTCCTTACTCCTCCAGTATGTTAACAGCTTGGCTAGACACTGTGTGTAGAACTCAAATTCTCTGATGATGTCTTTCCTTAAACACTTTAGAGAAAAATCAAGTATTAAAATAAAACCTAATTAGGACATTATATTTGAATTACACTATTATTCTAAATAAAAAGCATTATGTTTATTTCAGTTTTTTAATTTGTATTTCTTTAAAGATTTTATCTATCTTTATATCTGAAATGCATTTAAAAATATTTAGCTTAAAATAATTGCTGAGTTATAGGAAGAAACTAAGTTATTGTAAATAGTTTACATAGAACTTTTACTAATTCACTTTAATAAATAAACAGTTTTATATTTAACTATTTTGTAAGACTGAATACATCTTAATATTTGACAAAGTGCCCAGTGAATTTCCTAAGTAAATAAAATAATAATAAGGATATTGAATGGTCCAAATAGTGGCAGTGTAGGTAGTGTACAATGAACTCTAAGTGGGACAAAGTGAAATTTCCTTTTTAGGGATCAAACATCCCTTTTGGATAACAGCTAACCTTGGCTTATACAGATCCTCTGTCTCTATATGAGAGCTAGGAGACAGTCTAAACAGTGTATTATTATAGTCAGTAGTGTTGGATTGAACCCTGGGTCTTCTTTGTGCCAGGCAAGCTCTCTCTCCCTTGAGCTGCATTCCTGTAGTTAGTATGTAGTGTTATGGATAGAATTATAAGCCCCCAAAGAAAACACAGCAATGAATTCTGATGGCATCATGGAGAATATGAGTCACTTGCTATATTAAAAATATAAGTATTTTATAGAATTCTAATTTTTGTGGCAGTACTTCATTTTATTTATTATTCACATAAGTTCAACTAAGATTTTCTTGTTAAAATTATTTGAAAGACATTGTGCTTGGGAACTTATTTAGATATTTTGGTGCAGACTAGATAATCTTGGATTCAGTTTTGTAGGACTTGAATTTAGGCATTTAAAATATTGTGCAGTTCTGATGACTAAATTCTTTTCCAAAATGCACAAAATCAGCCATTTACCTCAAGTCTGCAATCTCTTGAAGTCACAGAACTAAAAGGATTAATGCTTCAATAACAGTTCATTGCTCAACTTTGAAGTTAATCGTAGGCAATACAATCAGAATTATCTTGTTAAAAATGAGTACAAGTTAACAGGACAGGAATGTCAGTATTATAACTGTGCTTGGTTGGTAAGCATTAATTAAAGGAGCCTTGCAGTTTCAAAGATGAGATAAAAGATCTTTCAATCACTATTTTAAGAATCTTCCCACTGAAGTAAAGCACGTCCTGTGTTTATGGGTTGTACTTTTGTTGATTATAATTGTCTTTGGTAGATTGTCAAATTAAATTGCTGCATGGTTAGAAATAATTCTAATATGTCCCTAATATCCTGATCACGATTTTTATTGTCGTATAGTCTCTGCCTTTTTAGTATCAGTGAATCCTGACCAATTTGTCTGAGAATACAGAGCATATGATGCTATTTTTAAAGAGTCTGGGATGTTGTTTACACAGTAAAATATGTGAAATTTATTTGGAGTGAATTGAATTGGAGTGCTTCCATTTTCCAACTTTTACTATTCAACATATTTCATATTTTACTTTTCTTACCTCTCATTTTCTCATAGATCAATTCCCTGGAGTGCACACTTTATAAACAAAAGGAAATTTAGTTGCTAACACAATAATCCATTTTTCCCAAGTAACTAGCAGATTAAGGTATATCATGATGAGAAGACTATACTTGCAATAAATGAGACAAAAGTAATTTTAAAACAATCTGAAAGATATGGATAATTATATCCAAATAGTCTATTCAGTTACAAAAATATTAGAGTAGCTAAGAAATCATTATCTTCTGTTAAACACATATTTTTTTCATAATTTTTATTATAACTTCCACTATCTTAAATAGATACTGGACAGTCATAAAATCAATGCATGTGATCATGTATTTATGGGTTATCATGCATTTATAATTGAAAATTTTAAATTAAGTTTATTAGAATATATCCATACAATAAGAATTTATTATGGAATAAGGTTAGAATTCATGATACTCTCTCTATGTTGCAGAGCTGGGAGCTGGATTAGCTTTTGGGGTATGTGTTATGGGAAAACTAAAGAGAATATAGATGGTATTTAAACATTTGTTTCCCATTTCTCCAGTGGTTTTAACATATACTGTAAGTCATAAAGAAAGCTATAACCTTTGCAGTGATTGGGAAATTGTCAGGAGCCATGCAACCTAGTCTCCATCCGTGTATAAATGCCTGTCCATTGGATCTCCACAAGGCAAGACTCGTGGAGATGGTCTCTCAGTTGGCAGGAACCAGGGGGCCACAGACTAGCAGAGGACTTTGCTGACTTTTTGCAGCTTGCAGGCTCTTTTTTCTCTTATATTTTTTATTACTTTGGCAGTTTTTGGTTTTACTTTGTCAGTCACGCATACAAAAGCATTAATTTCTCCTGGAAATTGTGGGTTTTTAAAAAATGTATATTTTCTTTAGAATCAGCAGGGAGCTAAAGCTTTACATTTTTTTTTTAAATCTGGAATTACTAACTACAGCTCCTAATTCTGGGAATTTCTTTGACTTAAAAATTAATGGGTCTTGTTTTTAAAATTTTTTCTAAGTAAAAGGTTGATAAAACTACCTTGTGAGAAAGAGGCTCACAGACCTGTAGTGGCAGGAAGTAATGGGTACATATGAAAAAACAACACTTGGAACATGAACCATGTCTCCCAGCGCTGGAGAGGAGAGTACGGCATGCATACACAGGATTAGGAAAAGGCCTCAGGAATACGCATCGTGCCAACTGTTGAGAGTAAGTTCTCTGGATACCAATCAATGATAACAAATATAATGTAAATTATGGAATGGATAGATCCAACAGGACCTTATATTGGTGGAAGAACTATAGTGCTATGGGATGGAAAAGGGGTACTTTATCAAAGTCTACCTTTTACGGAGAGATTGAGACATGGGACCCTCTTATAGAAAAGGAAACTGTATAAAAACGTATCTTGCAGGCATAAAAGAATTGTTTGGGTTTGAATATTCTTGTCCTTAAAGCAATGTACTGATATCTACTACTCTTTAACTTGGAGCAGCAAGTTTCTGCCAGCTGCCATAAGTGCTGCAAGAGCAGGATGTGTCTGGTCCAATTTTTAGTACACCTGCCAAAGTGCTAGGTAAAGGTTGTGTAGGGGATGGAAAAATGGATTCGGGGAAGCATGAAGGAGAAAAATGGGGCTTTTATAATGATTATGATGCATTCCTAAAATATAGTGTATTTCTTAAAAGTCAAAAATAAAACCTGGGTGGTGGTGGCGCATGCCTTTAATCCCAGCACTCGGGAGGCAGAGGCAGGTGGATCTCGGTGAGTTTGAGGCCAGTCTGGTCTATAAGAGCTAGTTCCAGGACAGGCACCAAAGCTACAGGGAAATCTTGTCTCAAAAAAAGAAAGGAAGAAAGGAAGGAAGGAAGGAAGGAAGGAAGAAAGAAAGACAAAAACAAAAATAGAAACCAATAGTAAAGCTGTTACCCTGGTAAGAAAAACTCTGTTTACATACAAAGATAGCTGGAGCTATTCAGGACCACTAGAGTGCAATCTACTTGGTGGTCAGAATTCTTCTTGTGCTGATGCCCTTTCCCAACCTGGGCCCCGACAGGAAAGAAAGAGAAAGTTGTGCACATCTATACTAATGAGAAAACAGACTACCTAGAAATGCATGTACTGTGGAAACAATATTTCAAGTTAAGATAAATAAATTTTAAAATTAAGTGAAACAAACATCATGCACCCCTCTCCATTGTTTTCCTCATGGCTAATTTAGAATACTCTGGAGCTTTTGCACTGGAACAATAGTTGGTGCAGATGCATATTTAAGTTATATCTTACCATTGATATTTTTCTGATTTTCATTTAAAAGATTCTGATTTTGCCCTCGGGTTGTGGCTTAGCAAGCTTTCCCCTAAAGTTTAGCAGACTCTGGTTCCTATCTCCAGAACTAAGAAAGAAAATCTCATTTGACACAGTTCTATTGAGTCAAATACATAGGATGTTGTTACTATTCCAGTCTTAAAGGTTCTGTAATATCTCATTGGTTCATTAGAGGGTACACATTTCTTTAAGTGCCTTTGATTCAGCTGTGTTTACCTTCTAATGGTTGCCTCAAAAAAAAAAGGCTATTTATACTTTTCGTGTTGAAGGACAGGGTAAGTATAATAGAAAGCAGAATTATTTATAAGGAAAGATAAAGAAAAATGTACTTTTGAGATAGCAACATTTTCATAGAACTAATGTCATTCTTGACAAATTTTGTCAAGGCTCATATATTTCCTTTCAGCTTCAGAGATTAAAAAAACCAGACATGTAATGACCTCAAATATGAAAGCTAGTCACACCTGTGATTTTCTTTAGGGCAGATCTGTGCTTGTGATCGTTGTATTTCTTTTGTTTGCTTCAGGCAGAATTTATTCAATTTAAGTAATGTCAGAATACTTTTGAAATAAGACAAATAAAGTAGAGACAATGTATGCAAGCATTTTGCCAACATTGAAGGGGTGTAGTTCATCATTACTTTAAACCCTCTGGCTAACTCTCAGCATAAACAACATATCTTGTTCTTATATTTAATACATGAATATATTTCGATGGTTTTGGCTCACAGATAACAAAGAATGACACATATGTTTAACCTTTAGGTGTGTACTTTTTCAGCAAAGAAAGCATGCAGTAACAAGTTATTTCACTTGTCGGCTGCATATAATCACAAACACAATGCTCTTATCTTGTAAAAGTAAATTACTCATAAAAGCGATTACTTTGCCTTTTATTAGCAAGCACTGCTTAGCATGGGTTACTTTTTCAAAACTTAGCTTTAAAGTCTATGATTGGGTTTCCCAAACTACAGAAATATTGAAAAGTTTTTCATTTTAAATGGCAGTTTCTGCTTTGACTTTTGAGAGCAGTTAAAGGTCAGAAAATAGTACCATTTGGTTAAAAAACAGTTAATCTTTCTACAACACATTTGAGAGATTTTTAAAATTTTTGATGCTTTCACTTTATATAATCTTAGAATAATCAATAATTAAAACATCTAAAATCACTTTAAATGCTTTTCAAATATAATATTAATGGCAGTAATAGTTAAGAAAAAGAATAGCTGAGTCAGAGCTTGGTTTAATTTTTACCAAGAATTCTATTATAAACCTTGCACTCGTAGCTGCTGTATGACTGAACCGAGACAACTCCACGTCAGTTAAAATAATAGCATGGGCCAAGGATACATCCCAATTAAAATTGTTTTTAAATGCTCACAACTTGTGAATGACTACATTTTGAATATATTAACTTATAAAGATTAAAACAATCTCCATTGATTCATTCTCCTGCTATTTGGAGGTATTTTGGGCTTATGTAACTTAGATGAGAAAATGATTCTTATTAAAAAGAATCCATCTTCCATGAATCCATTTATATTTTTCCTTGAATTTTTATATCAAAATGTAAGTACTTTAGTATATTAATATTTAAATTCTCATTCTAAACTAAGTATAAAAATCTAATTGAATTTGTTTAATTACATAAATCACCAAACATTCAGACAAGCTGCTACTAAATTTAACAATTACTAATGAGCTGATTTTTTTCAGTGTTTGGTACTAATTAAAAATAAATGTAACACTTATTTAAGAACAAAGACTCCCACAACATCTTTATCTTTATTCTTAGAGATTTAAAGATGAATAGATATTTTACAAAGCATGATTGCTTAAGCTGTTGATTTTAAATTTCCACAGAGAGATATTTAATATCCTACATGATGGCCTTTGTTTTGTCTATCGAATTTGATAATTTGTTCCTGTATATGTTGGTTCTACAATGTTCCAATGGTCAGTGTTCTAACTGAAATGAAGTTGCCACTGAACAATCTTGTCACTTTCCTTTTAAAATATACTTTACATCTCAAACTATTACCTTTATTAGTCTCAATATTTTATTATACTTGTTTCATGAATCTTACTGTGCTAGTCTTGATTCCACCTTATTTACTTTAATTGAATTAAAAAAGTCAAGAAACCCCAAAGTGGTTATAATGTCTACTGTATGTGCTAGTATAACATATATAACACCCATTGACACTATGAAGGAAACAGACCATCTTGCAGTAATATGAAACAGGACCTCACAATATGCATTTTGTATCCCTTAAAGGAACAAATCTGTCTCGTTATTTTACAGGGAACATAAAAGTAAATTCTTTCCCGGTACTCTCTTTAATGCATTGACTGTCATTTGCATACCACACGCACATACACACACTCTGATGGAAAGGAAACTTTTTCTGACTGCAGTGTTTTTGTGTGCCTTCAGAGGCTTAATCTTGCTGCTGATGGATGTCTTCATGCCTAAGAATCTTATAGATAACCCAGTAGAAAATGTTAAAAATCAAAAACGCCAGAGGAAAGCAGGCTCGGGAGATGGTGTCAATCTTCTTGGCCCTGTCGATGAAGACCTTCCTCATTTCCTCGGGGCTCTTTGGCATTACCTGGACAGCATGGTTGGGGCCCTTTGGGAGCACGCCATCCTTTGCTTGCAGACATGGCCCCATTCCATAAGTGGTGAAGCTGAACCGACTCTCCCTCACCTCATCTTCCTGTTTATAGAAAACACCAGGAGATGTTTTAGTAAGGAAGCAAGGCATGCCGTGCAGGATTTCAGAATTATGGCTTAACCTTTATCATGACGTATGCTCGCTTTAATATGAAGAACAGATAGCAGAAGCGCATGATGATGAGTTGATGTGAGGTTTTCCTTGCTTTGCTACCTCCTAGAGATATTCTGATCAATATGACACTCCCAATGAGTTATAATGGAGAGATAAAAGTTCTAGGGTGTTTACATGCCACAAAGTAAGTGAGAGAAAGAAAAAAAAGCTGTTGAGAGATTTATTATAAATATGTGTATCTTAGAAGCTTTTGGTTACAAGTTTAAACATACAAATAACTGACAAAAGGGAAATCAACACCAGAATCATTGGCTGAATTTTTATTTCTTGTGGAGACAACCTTTTAATACTCATTTCTTCCAATTCTAGTTACTTCCTTGGAAAGCACAGCTTATTAGAAAATGCTGCTTGCTTTGTGTTACCTATTATGCTGTTTCTCTATTTTATACCATCTTGTTTGTAAGAGTTACAAGATAATAACATGATCTAATTTGTGTATGGCTACTTCACAGATACTGTGGGTTGGTAAATTATGAATATAATTTGAAGGGCTTATTTCAACTGTAAGTAATAAACTTATTATAAGTTAAAATTCATAAATAATGTTTGAAATTATACTATTACTTCTAAATAAAGAGAAATTCCCATCTATTTACATAAACAACTAAAACTGGGGCTTGACAAATGGCTTGGTAGTTAAGAGTTCTTATTGCTCTTGAAGATCTGAGTTTGGATCCCAGCACCCACACAGTGGCTCATAACTGCATAAATCTCTGGCCCTAGGGGATTCACTGCCTTCTTCTGGCTTCTATAGACACTGCAAGCACACAGTACAAATGCACAGACACACATATATGCACATAAAAAGCTTAATTAAAACCTATAAAATTGAATGTAAAATTTATAAATGAAATATCCTCATGATAGAGAAATTTGCTATTAACTAATATATAGTAAAATCGATGAATACATGAAAATGTGAGTTAAATCATTACTGATAACAAGGGTCATTTTTTGCTAGTAAAACCGCAAGTTTCAAGATACATTTTATCAGTATAAAACTGCTATGATAGTTCTTTTTTATATTAGTTTAAGAGATAAAATAATCATTTGGTCCAACTTGAAAACTGCATTAGGTCTATGAATGTAGCTGCTCAATAAACTACATATCATAAAATATGAAAGTTGAAAAATAGGAATAATTATGGATTCTAAAAGTGAGAAAATGAGCAACATTGATTCAATAATGTATTAAGTAGTTTTATAGAATCATGAAGGTGAGGTAATTCCACCTGAAAGACAAAAGCATATAATTACTGGAAACATTTGAACTGTAAGATTCATTAAGCAATTGGATTTGAGTGGAAGCAATTAAAATACAACAATTAAAATCACCTTAAAATAAAGCTTCCATCCAAGTTACCTGTGACTACTGTAATACTGTATTGTAATGTTTCAGAACAAGAAAATGGAAACCATTTTGCTCAGGACTCTTGTAAATGTGATCATTCGTGTGGCCATGTTTTGACTTCCCAAAGCAATTTTATGATAAACATAGTGTATGATTTAAAATTGTCTTTTAAAAAATATATGTGAATTTAATTGTTATTATGTAAATGGTATATTATCATCTTTAAGATTTAACAAATTATGTGGCTTCTTGCATTCCTGAATGGAAACGTAAATTATTTCAGTAATTTTAATTATATATTCAGATCATTTAATTTTGAAATATAATATAATATTTAAATTACACCAACCCACATATTTAAAATACAGCACTGAAAAGGAGAAAATAGCTTTTTCGATGAACATTTGCATGTATTGGTGTATTAGTTGAATTGGAAAGTTCATTATCAAAATACTAATATTTCATGATTTTACAATATACATTTAACAAACCAATTCATTTACTTCTTTTCATCTATTCTGGACTACTTATTTTAAAATCTTTGAGACCACAGCTACTCTTCTCAAGTAGTTTTTCATGGAAAATTAAACATGGAATAAATGAACAATCAACTTTTTTTCTGTTTGCCTTTTATATAACTGACTGTGTGTAGGAGAGTGACATAAGTTCTGAGCTATTGTGACACTCTGAAGATGACCCATGGTTTCTAAGGTATCATTTTCTTGAAAACATAGAATTAAGCTAAATGGGGAATGGAGCCAGCTCCACTTTCTGTAGATAGCTGCACCAGCATGAGAGGTTGAAGAGGACTGTGCACGGGTCTGTTCATCCTCAGCCAGTGTGACTGGCAGTATAAACAACCGCCTTAGAATGAGCTCTTTGACTTCTGTGTGCGAAGGTAATCACATACCCCTTGACTTTTGTGTATGCAGGGGCAATGAAGCGCTGTCCTAGAGAAACAACTCAGATTCCTGTAGGATGATGGTGGGGCTAAACTTAGTTTGAAAGATTGTCTTTGTTTAGAGAGTGTAAGTGACAATTCAATCTGAACTTCAGCAGTGGACACAGAAGACATATTATAGCATAGCTTTTCCTCAATATGCCTAGAAAGTTTTGTTATGCTCTGAGGAGCATTTGGTGCTGATCTGCTCTAGGGTTAACAAGGCCATGTGCAGAAAATTATTGGGTCTGAGTCTTACTACTGTAATATGTATGGCACAGACGTACCCCCCAGGGAAGAAATATGTCGAAGAGCAATGAGATAGAAATTGAAGAGGATGTGCCTCAGGATCCAGTGATGTTTTCTTAATTGACCATCCTCGAGAAGTTGGGGTCAAATGGTAGTAAGGGGAGAAGCACGTGAAGAAAGCAGTTGGTTTTCTGAGATGGCTCAAGGTGAAAACGTGAAAGAGTATTTTGTTTTGTCTTGATTACATCTATAATCCCTTGCAGGCAACACTTCAAAAATAGTATTTATAGTATAATGTGCCCACATATTAAAATATCTGAGCCACATGTTAGCAAGTTACAGGAGGTGGGTAGTTAATTTTAATTAAGAAGCTTGAATTCAGTATGCCCATAGTTTTATTTCACTTGTGCAACATATAAATTGAAAAATTTAACCTTCTTAATACTCTCTCTTTGTGATCTGATGTCTAATTTGTATTTATTTCATCTATAAAGTCAGACTTCATTTCTAGTGTTTGGTAGTAATACATTGTCAGGAGCTACCAAATAGATAATAGTAATTGCAGTATAACCATTTGGATTAATCTTGTGTAGAGTTAGCAGAGCTCTGTGTGGTCCACGCTTTCATGAATCTCTAAGTTAATCAATGTAGGAGGGAATGTTAGACTTTCAGATGATGCAGCATAAAAATGTTTGGTAGAAATGCTGAATTCCAACTTGTAGTGTTCTTATTCATCAATTTCTGGCCTTTGTGATTAAATCACACTCATCTAAACTCTGAAGTACAACCATGGGTAGGGAGGATTTCCTTTACAGAAAGTGGGAGGACTTGTAGATTTGTGGGCACATTTATTCCTACAAAGACCATGCTGAGGTCACTGGTGGGAAGAAAATCTCTCTTGACTATTTAAAATAAAGATCATTAGCACTTCACACATGTCTATTAAGAAACTAAAAGATAATAGTGAAAAATGGTAGGATTCCTATGAGTGACTTCCACGCTGGAAAGACTGGAAATAGGCTTAGTTTTAGAAGTTACCACTCTTAAGGAAGTCTACTAGGTTTATTTACATCAAACATTAGAAGCAATGATGATAGTGGAAAATGGAGATAAAGACACAGATATAAGTTTTTTAAATTTATTTCATCCGTTCAGATAGATCTAATTGGACAAATGAAGTTAAGGCTGTTGACACAAAAAAACTATCTTGAAGGTCAGGATTTTCTTACACAACTCTGAATAGGAATTTAAGATAAAACAATATTTTAAATGGGATGCTGAAGGATGCTGAAAACAGATATTTTAGATACTGAAAATCAGTGGATAATGTATGATACTATTACAAAGGAGCAAGGACGCAGTAAGTTGACAAAAAGAAGCTGGTGGGGCAGTAGAGAGGGAGGCTAGGTGACTGGCTATGGTTGTAGGAATCGGTAGTCAAGAAGATTCTAGGTAGGAAGAAAGAGAGTACAGAAGGTTCTTTGACTCCATGTGCAATTGAAAGAATAGAACACATATTGTTATTTCTGGTCTGAGCCTAATCTTGATTAGCCATTTTTAAGTATAGTTTTAACTGGATGTATTAGAATGGGACCTGTAACAACTATCCAAATCTTCATCTGAAGTAAATACCAAACACTATCAGTTGAATGATGACACTTGGCATTCTCAGCTCTGATTGAGTGAGTGGAGGCAGGGGTGCTAGTTCTAATAAGTGTTGCTAGAGCAGTCTGTCTGGCCTCTGAAAAAAAAAATAGATGGATCTTGGCAGACTGGCTGTTATATGAGTTCAGTAAAGAATTCCTACACTCATCTTCATGTGCTGGATAATGTGAAACTTCTAGAAAGCTTTGTCAGGACAAAGGAAGTAGTTACGATTTGACTGATGATTTGATATTTTCTTTTTAATCTCAGTCTAATAAAAAAGTCAAACACAGTATACATATATGTGGGAGAGATACAGTTATGGTCTCCTTTCCTCTCAGAGAAACTATGTTCTCCAACTTATTGCAGAAAACTGATGAATATTTAATGGAGATCACAGGTAAAGTTAATCAGTTAATGATGAATGATAACTTTTCTCTTCAAGGGAAAGATCAGGAAGGTTTGGAAACTTTGGTAGCACATGTGATAGGACAATAGAAACCAATTCATCCAGACTCCAGGTTTAACATCATTGGTCTCCCTCTAGGATTTACTGAGTCTAAAGCCAATAAATACAATTCACAAGCACTGAAGGAAAAATTGCCATCTCTTCTGGACTCTACTATGAGAGGACCAACATAGAATACTTCTGAACTCTGCTGAGTCTGTTTTGTACTTTTATTG